CAGTACTAGCTTTAATCCTTTTTGCATGATGTAGAAATCTGAGCCCAAGCTGTGATTGGATTGTCACTCAAAAAACTCGATGCCATTGGCACGTCAATACGTGATAGGCACTAACAAAGAGAAGAGCTCAATGTCATCAGAACTGTACATGTACCTGTATATTACACAGATCGTCATTAGCCGTGCGTATTACGTTCACTTTGAGATCATGAGTAATACTGAGTCATCTTATTCCGAGACATCTCTCTCTGTCTTCCCTGGGCCCGGACTACCCGGGTGGGGAGGGGGACTGATTGCTTGCTTTGCAGAATGTTGGCCTGGCATTCGGTCATTATGCCCGACAGGTATCGCTCTTTGGACCTGAAGATGAATAGTGGACAAGAGAGTGCACCTTGGGAATGTGAATTTCCCCGGGTGCAATGAACGCATGCGGAGCGTGTTAGGAAGAGGTTTTTGAATACAAGGCAATACAAATAAGTCAGATAATAACACTTCGTCAATATTTACCTGTAGATTCTTAAAACTTGTAGACTGCAGTGTTAAAATACACTGGTAATTGATTCACTTAAATTTACTCGGAGAGGATGATAAAAAAGACATTTTCGTGTTACATCACTTGTATATGAACTGGGTTGACTTCATTAGCCAACTTGCCGACTCGCCAAGCAGAATACACATGTAGTTCAGCACAGGCCATGCTCAAATGTCGTAATTTTTGTATGTATAGGCCCACATGCAAACATGAACCAGTATATGTAGCTAGTCTGTGGCAAAAGTTGATTTGTGCTTATGATTGAAGAGAAACATTGCTAAAATTGTTTTTTCTCTTAAACACACTCAAAACCACCACTGATATTTAAAAGCATTTAAATGACAACAGTCCTACCTGCATATTTGATCTATGCCAGGTCTTCTGTCGGCCATACAGTGTTTCTGGCATTTAGATTCCTTGCATTGTGCGCTTATTTTCTGTCCTGAAGAATTCTGATCCTTGAACCAGAGCAGCGTGGCAAACAGCATGAACCATCTGCCACAAGATCCTAGAGAGGATGACATTTGAGGGGAAGGTATGGAGTGTTCAGGAAAAACACAGAGAGAGAGAGGGAATATGAAGAAGTTGAGTGTTAACGTCAGGGTCTGAAAAGCCAAGCCATATGCTGACCTGAATTGGCTTTGAACCCAAGTCATAGTAATGCAATGCTGATGCTGCCTGATCTCTGACTACGTGCTGTCTTCCTTCCTGCCGTGGGAGGTGGCCAAGGTTCGAATTCCACCCTGGTCGACACGTGGAATTGATCAACTGTGGGCATTAGAGTAATATTGCGTATCTCCTTTTCCAAACTGGGTAGGGTTTTATTCGCTTACCGAATACCGCTACTGGAAATGCCTTTTTTTTTTCCATTTTCACCGGATTCTGAAAAAGAGATGTAATGCGCAAGCTACCAGCAATTACACGAATAAAAGAAACACAGATTCCATTGTTAAACCTTGTCTTGCACTTTGGTTGAACACTCGTACATACAGTGCACTTATGGTAGCATCCTTGACAAACTTTCTGATGGTACCGGGTATATTCTGGAACATTGTTCAGGTACTGCGGTACATGTGTGTACTTGTAGTTTAGTTCAGATTGGTCCAGATTGCTCTGTTGACATGAACTACCTGGTAAATTATAACATGCCCGACATGGATCAAATCTTTATGATGGATGCATTGGAATTGAGGACCTTATTACATACACACACAGAAAAGTTTTAGCTGCACTTTGTGATATCTGCCATTGCCATAAGTTACATTTACTTAAAGTTTCAAGAATCATTTTGCCATGAAATGTGTAGAAGCTCCGAATCAGATTTTTGAAAATGTGAAAGATCTTTCAATGCGTCTTGCCATAATAGCATGTACCTAAAGACGTTACTACATGTTGCGGGACTGTGGTTGCCAGGGGATGATCTACATTGTAGCCTGAACCAAAGTAATAATACAAGGACCCGTTACTGATACTTGAAGGAATAATGCTGTAATTAGGGAGGGTAGTATGCCATTCCTGTGGGCAACGCTGCTCCTTGTTAATGATTGATATCAGCGATGATAAATGACCACACAGCTACTGGAATTGTATTGGTGTGCCATTACACTGCTCTGCTGGGGTTCCTTGTCATATTGCAGTAGGGAGTGGAGGGTCTGTGTTTTGGCAGGCAAACATCTCTCTTAGGGGGGTGGAAGGCAGAAGCTTAAATTGTTGGCTTCGTTCTTTTCATTCTGTGGTTTTGAACCAGATTGAAAAATGTATGTACTGGTACTGTATCTGTTTTCGACACCTGATTTTTGTAACCTTGGAAACCTGAGTTTTGAAAATCAAGTTTGATCTCCAGAAGCAGACAAAGTGTCATGTCATACTTAGCTGAGCAAAATCTGACAGAGAACCAGACAAAAGTGGCATCGGTCATGCATGACTTTCTTGGCTGGTATCCCTTGTTCAGTAATGTTTATGATAAGAAGCTCAAGTGATACTAGTTACCTTGACTTTAATACTGACTGGGTAGAGATGTTCCTTTTAGCTGGTCCAAACAGGGTTGCATATGTTAAAATGCAGACCCAGCTTTGTATTTCTGCTGGACACCTTTCTGAATTTGATCAAATCTTCCAGTAAGCAGGAAACCAATGTTGAGTGCCGTGAGTGTTGGTCCCTTTGAAATGTACCCGTACACTTAGAAAATAAATTTACCGTCTCTGACATCTGAACGTTTCCGTAAAATTGATTGAAATGAATCACATTGAAGAGCTAGATTACCTGATCATCAACTTTTGCTCAGGTCATTCCTGTGTGCTGTTTCCCCAAGTCTCTAATATTTCGGCGGTGAACAAATATTTACAGTACCCTCCATCATAGATGTGGATATGCTTCAAATGGGTCATACATGTAGATAGCTGAGATCATAACTCATCTTTGTGTAGGAACATGGTATGTGCATGCATGTCATAAATCAAATTTGATTAAGGTGCTGGCAGTCGGGACTTGTTTGTGTGTGAAGTGGATACCTCAATAAACTCTTATAGCTGGAGAAGCAGTTTAAAATCGAGGAGTTGGTTGTTTTCTGGTCACGCAGAGTTTGGTTGGTTTCACAGTTTGCCGAGGTTAAGGAGTCCGTGCAGTTTTTAATGAGGGTCCTGCAACAAGTTGGTATCCTGCAAATCATAGCAACAAGTCACTCATTCTCCCTAACGCACCAAGATCCTTGGAAATCCATCTTCTTGTTTGGGAAGATTTTGTAAGGATGATAAAAGTACGTGTATGGGTAGATCCTCAGTAATATGTTAAGAGTAACTGTAAGTGTGCCATAGGTTTCCTACGTGTTGGTGGATTTTGGAGGATTCAGAAAGGTTGCAAGCAAAAGTGTGCGAGAGCTGGAGATTTGATACTGTGGCAAACAAAATCCATGGTTTTCAGAAACAATAGGGCATTACCTTAATGAGGTCAATGCCTTTAATCTGTGTTTAGTTTATTTGGCTGAAGTGTACCGTTTTCATTTGTGAAGTGTATTAGTGTGGCATTTGTATTTCAGCGGTTCGCGTAGCACTTGGATTATTAACACAGATTCAGATTTGTGTGTGTGTGTGTGGGGAGGGGGATTTTTTTCGTAACAAATCTCCTGAGGGAAAATGTCCTTTAGAAAATGGTGTGCAGTTTCAACACTCGAGTGCCATGGTATGCGTAGGGGGAATGCATAATTCAATCTTCACTTGGAGTGTACTGTAAGGCACCGTACATATAGGTCCTAGATGCAAAATTAAAAGCTTATTAGAGGCTCCTCATAAATTGAGGGGCTTGTCCGTGTTACTATGGTAATATTGACCTCGCATCAACAACGCACCCGTGGTCATTTTTTGGGTGGACTCCGCATCGAACAAATGGAGTTTTTAATGCTGTTTACACTGCCTGGTATTCTGCAAATTTGTAGGGTTTGCTGTTTACTCTACCACAACGGTAGAAGTGACTCTCTAGAAATGCCAGAGTAGGAGCTTCTTTGCCGAAGAGAAGAGTAATTTGATTAGAAAACCAAACCAACGGAGGATGGCATTTGGATGCAGACTACATCGAACGGTGAAAAACACTCTCTGAAATGTTTGCCTTTTAATGAAAGAGGCAGAGGGAGAAAGTTTGCGTTAATGATGTGAAACTTCCTGCGGCCATGCAAGTATTTATCGATATGCTCTCTTGTACGTGTAAATGAATTCACGACGGTTAAACTTTAGCCAGCAGGGGAATTTGAAGTCCCATCCAGGGTGCTGTTAAGGGACCTAGTTCTCTTCCAGGGTAGGAAGAAATGGAATGAGGCTAAATATGTGAAGCGCTTAGAGACAGTTTAACTTTTGCTAATAAATCCAACTATACTTATCCCTTGGTTTGCATAGGTAACAGTTATTCCTGGTCCCAAATGGCAAGGCTATTGCATTGCCAAGGAGGTAACTTTTTGCAGTACCATTGTTCGTTCATTCTCACAGTAGTCTGCACTGAGTTGCAGCAATTCTGACTCCCCCAAAAATGTGAAAGCAATAGAAACTACTATGGGAACCGCTGGGAACACAAGTGTTCCCTTGTGTAGACTTCAAAATGTGCCGAAAGTCAGCATATTTTGCACGTCAGCACATTAAGTTAGAGCTTAAACATAGAGGAACTAACGTTTCAATCCCTCAAGACCGTTTTCAAAGGCGTTATATCCTTTAATTTAAGTAGAACTTGCTTCATAAATTTTCGCCCTGGTACTTCTGTTTATTGGTTCTTCACAATGATTTGGATTCGTGTAAATGCTTCTTTTGAATCTTTGTAAATGTGTAGATTGTTGTAAAGTTCTGTTTTTTTCTATCTGAAGTGCAGAGAATATCATATGATCTAATGACACAGTTGGCGGAATAATTGTTTATAAGTTTATTCAACTTTGGGGATTGTTCATTCATTAGAAATGTAGGCTATAAATTCTTATTTTGTGATTTTTCAGATGGTTAGACTCGTCCAAGTCCCTCATGGAGCAGGGAATCCAAGAGAATGACACCTTGATGCTTCGCTTCAAGTATTTTGCCTTCTATGACTTGGACCCCAAGCAGGACGGAGTCCGAATCAACCAGATCTACGAGCAGGCTAAGTGGGGGCTCCTCAATGAGGAGATAGACTGCACAGATGAAGAGATGATCATGTTTGCTGCCTTACAGGTAAGTCAGAAAAACGTGGAAAAAACAATGCTTACAGGTATGATGTGCCTTGAATGGTGTTAGGTTTGACTATTGGATCGGTGCATGAACTGAAGAGGGCAGTGTGGAACCTTCTGGTTCCTGGTGGGTCAGTTGTAATCTTAACTGTGAAAGGAGTGGGAGCCAGTTAATAAGTTTGGAGATTTGTGTGCATTGAAATGTCACTCACTTACTGTTGTGTACTAGGAAATAGTTTGTTATTGACAGTGTTGATTGCAGATTTACCACAGACGATCATGTCAATGGTCAGGTCTTGAGCTTCTTACATGGAGCATGCTTATAAAGCCAGCAGTTTCTCAGACCAGCTGATGCCAGGAAAACAAAAGTATGAGTATTACTTCTTTTATTTCAAAATACCTGTTGACCAATCAGAGTTGAAATCTCCCTTTTTCCTATCTGCCACAGTTGCAAGTGAATCTCCAGGCCCAGATGCCCCAGCCTGACCGGAAGCTGTACAAGAGGGTCAAGATGACATCGACAAGGCCCTGACAAACCTGCAGGTGTCGTTAGAGGGCAGTTCAATCACCACCGGTCAGGTATGGCTGTAATCCCTCGCCTGGTATTCTTCAGTTTTAACCCCTTTTTAGTCTTTGGCCAGGATTTCCTGAATTCTGTCACACATGGCAAAACTCTTTGTACTGTACACCTAACCAGTTTTCAAGATGTTGTGGTAAACTGTGTGTTACATGTAAATGCGTAGAACGCCACTCAAAAGCTAAGCAGTAACTTAAACTCGTTAGGGATCAGTTTTTTTTAATGTGATTCCCAATAAATACAATTCATATGATGTACAAAATGATGTACAAAAGCTAGTACTGCAGTTAGAATCCTGCAGTCTCCTGAAGACGGACAGAGTACACTGTTCGAAACGTCGAGTTATTCCCCGGTTCTTCTCAGAACCACACATACTCAAAGAAGAGATAAATACATGGTGTTACCGCAATCTGTACTATAGATCTAAGCTGGAAAGAGTTGACGTGGTTGATGAGTTTGCATGAGAAAGGACTGGTGTATCTTGTGACTGGCAAAATAAAGTGTGTGTGTGTTTTTAGCACCATGATACATTTCTCAGCCAAGGGACAAGTGTGCACGCACTCAGCATGCAACCCTTCTTCACAGTAAATTCAATAGCCCATAGCTTATTTGTATGGGCTTAATGCATCTCATGTGCAGAGTGCAGATTATAAAAGTTGGGTTTCCTGGTTGTAACGTACACAACAAAACTTTTTGTAACCCATCCTGTTTCCTTTGTTGTTTTTTTAATTTTTTTGCAGAGTGACATCACAACAGTTCCTGAGTTGTGCGACAACCTGCGCTTCTTCAGGTTAGTGAAGACGGCCGTCTTATTTTACCTCATTCTGTAGCCTTATATCAGACCCTGGATTTCTAACCAATGGTCACATGACTGAACAAGGGTACTGGTTTGTTTTGTGATGAGGGTAGGATTTGCAGAGGTATGTGTTGAGTTGCTTCAGGAAAAAGAAGAAAGCAGAAACTTCTGTTGATAAAGAATGGGCCAACATGTTTTATTGCAAACGGAAAACTGTCAAAAAGATGTGCTATCAAGGGATGTTCGGATGCATGAGCGTAACTTTGGTCAGGGTTCATGTCAAGTCACAAGTTGGTTGTAAATAGTTTTTATCTTCAGGACTTCATGAAACAAAACCCTTTTGTTGCCAAATGTCAGTAAATCATAGTCCTTGATGGACTGGGAAATAAGCTCCAGGAAGTGTTGAAAGACATACCGCCCCATTATCTTGTTTTGTGATAGAAGGGGCACAGGCCTACGTGCGCAAGCTAAGGGTGTCGTCATTTGAGATTTCGAAAGTTTGGACACATGCCCAAGATTTATTGAGGATTTACTTTGGTCCTTTTTATCTAAGTCTCTAGAGGAGTTCTTCCACATTTCTTTCTTTGTCCTCTTTTAAAGGATTCTTGTCTACATTTTAGCAAAATAAATGAATTTGCTTTTGTTTGACTTTATCTCTCTTCAAAAATAACATTTGTCATAGGTTGAAACCTGGAGCCAGTGTTTTGAGTGGGAAAAGGCTAATACATAGGAATCGGTGCATAGGTCAGAGAAAGGATGGTCTGTAGTTTTGTACTTGTATGTTTACAATCACATAAAATGACAACTGTGTAGTGAGACTGTAGCCGTTATTTTGTCAAACCTAGACACCACATTGTGGGACAAATTGTCTCCAGAATTATGAGGGATTGTTGTCAATATGACGATAAAATTACTTGTTTGTTATGCAACCAGGGATCATAGCAGCCATGTCAGGGAGATGAATGCCTGCTTACATGTGGTTGTGCCTTAGATGTTCTTACCAAACCCCAGCTGCCGATCCGGAAGAGCCTCGCCAACAGGGTTTCTCATGAATAGCTCATGATTAAATGGAATAGAACGTGCTCTGAATGTACAGTTTATTGATGTGGTATAATGACATCTAACTGTCCTGTAGAGAGAAACGCTCTCTGAAGTGTCACGACACAGACAATATCACTCGCAACAGGTCATGCAATATTGCTTGGATTAGCTTACCGAGGAGCAAGGATGTCTGGCAACCCTCTCCCCCCCCATGATATAATTGCCCTCGCTCCTTTATTGATCGCCGTGCTCTCACCAGGACGGCTTGTGTAAACGACACCGGAGATGCAACATCATCATTGCGATTTAACCCTGCGTAACGCGCTCCCAGCTCAGATGGGACCTGGACTTCACTGACGGTGCTCAGGCTGAGTGCGGTCAGCAGCTGGATGTCCCTGTGACATACATACCAGGTGTGGGCTGCGAGGAGGAGCAGACATGAGTGACCTTAAACCAAAACACATCAAAAGTGACTCGTCAGTACACCCTCGGCTTGTGCTGAGCAATTATTTTTGCATAGCACCTCTGTGTCATTCAAGTCCACTTTCTTAAATTTTCAGGATCATGCATTTTGCATTGATATGATCAGATCAGCTTGGGAAAATTCCATGTATGAGGAAATTGCACTGTAAAATGTATATGAAATGGTCAGGCTATTAAGCAAAAGTTTGAGCAGAGCACCGGTTGCAACCAGGGGATTTAACTCACATCTCAGCTGGTTACCTACAGATGTGTTTGCTCAGCAAAATTTTTTGTGCTCAGCTAAACTTTCTGCTGTTAACACAATAGCATCAGGAACCTCGCCCGTTTGGTCATTTTTGCTGACAAATTACAAAAAATAAAAACCTGCTTTGCTGTGTTCCAACATCTGATACTTCATGTAGCTTTCCGGAGCTTCTATCATCAATTGGCACAAAGATTTATTAGACTGTATTTTTTATGTTTATCTTTTGAAATGGCTATTTCACCTGTTATGAAATATCCAGTGTGCGAAGCAAACCTGAAGCGACGTTCATGACCGAAATTCCCACTGGGGAGTTTGCTTGATGACATCAATGTGTTCCGCTGAGAAATGTGGGAATTTCTTTGGGCTGTGAGTTGTTAAAAAAAAAAGGGAGGGAGACCGCTCAGTGCCAATACCGCCTGTGATTTATAATTGAAGAGGCAATACGTGGGAGAGTACACATTCATAGACAGGCCATCGGCTGTAATTGATTGTAACTGAATGCTGTGGCTTACGTTCTGCTGTCACGAAATTAGTTTCATTATTTAAAGTGCAAGTGTAATAGTATCAGTATCACAAAACTGACCTTTAAAAAAGAAAAACGTTCAGTGGGCGATTTTTGACAGAGTGAGATAGGTAAATTACGTTGCTCAGATTGTTGTGATCCACAGACAAAACTTGTCAAGTGTGCTGTATTTATGACATCTTGGGGAAAAAAAATGAAAAAAGTTTACTGGGTGGATCTTCCAGGCAGTCAGTAGAAGCTGTATTTGGTAAGTTTAGTGTTCATATTTCGAGTTTGCTAGTAGTCTTGGAATATTCCAAATTGGGGGCAAAGTGAGGAAAAACCATGAAAGTTGCAAACTGGAAACAACCGTGCCCAAGCTTGTCCCTGAAGTCCATGTAAAAAGTTCACATTCAAATGTTGACATTCAAGAAAATTAGGGAGGGAAGCCATGATCTAATGTTGCATCTGCTCTAGTCTGGGGTTCATCTTTCAAGCGCATCACGTCTGGTGCTGAGCGGTGAAGCCAGCAACTTGCTATCTTGGCCCAGCATGCTCTGCCCGCATGGCCGGGGGGCATCCTCTGCAGCTGAACGGAACCTAGAAGAAGAAAAAAGATTCATTACACCGGGGATCCTGCGGGAGATCCTTATGAAGTGCAGGCACACATACTGAGCTGATGATGAGCTGGGATGTTTAATGCGGGGACATGAATTAACTCACGTATTGTGGGGGGGGGGGATGAAGGGGGTTAACTTCTGAAGCTCTGTGAGCCAGGATGGATGGAGATAGGGTAGGCATCCTGTGCTGGTGTTCAGGAAAGTGTAACTGAGTCAAACCATGGTTAAAGGTGGCTGGTGTAGAAATTATGTTTTGGAATTGAAATGCCATTGTTGAAATTGTTTTTAAAAAGAACAAATCATAAGAAGCCCATTCTCAGCTTTCATCTTGATAAGATTTTTTGGTAACGTCTCTGTGCTAAGTGAAGCATTTCTTTGTTCAACCCATTTTAGTTTGCTGACATTCACCAATGGCATTTATACTTTGTAACTTAAATGTGTTTGTCCATAGCTGCGTGGTCTCACCAGTCAAGTGCTGTTTTTTCCTAGCTTGGTTTATAGATTTATCTGCCCATAATCACATGATCTGGCTAATCATGTGACCCTGGGGAGAATTTTCAAGGGGATAGTGTGCAGCAGCTCAGGTTGAAAGAGTCTGGGGGTACTGACTCTGGGGAGGAAAAGTTGGTCCTGTTTCTGTACCACATTCAGATGCAGGGTCTCCTAGTTATAGATGTTTCATGCTGTGAAGCAGACCTTTGGATTAAATGAGCAGATTTCTTTGAAGGTGTATGGTGGTGACTGCACATAATCCCAAGCTGCTTGGACACATGTGTTTTTATCATCAGTCAGTGTCATGTAACTGGATATTTCACAACATGGATCATCCGTGTTCGGTCCTGTGAGAATGCTTTTATGTTGTAATGATTATCTTTTGTCAGCAGGAATCAATCTTGTAGGTGATGGAGGTTGGAGGGCATGACTTCTAACCCTTGTTTGCCTCATTTGCCCAACTACATTGTACGCACCCGGTAGTAAAGCCACTTGAAAAACCTCTAAGCCAATATTGATTGATAAAAACCTGGCATTGATTGTAGACTAATCATGTTTTGGTCTGACAGCAGTCAAACTAAAGATTTCTCTCACAAGCTGGTCCCAAAATTATTCCAAGTAGTTGCACTTTCCAACTGTCATTGGAATTGCAAGACACTGTTTCACCCTAAGTGTAGTGCTCTAATCCTTCTTTGTTTTCATTTCGCTGTTTGGTCGATTTTGTGAGCTAGCTCCAGCACAACCCTGGAGGGTGTAATTTCCCCTCTGTTCCCCTGGAGTTTTGTCTAGCAGAAGTCAAATAAATACCATGCCCTGATTATTTGGGTGTTGGTTGCTGCTTCTGGTGATAGATAGGCCCCAACAGAAGGAACTGTTGAAGGATGATGAAAATCCAACTATTTCCCCTGGAAGAAAATCCTCAAATGAAAAAGTCTGGCTGGTTCAGTGTCTGTTCTGTTTATTTGTCTTGGAATATTAAAATTCTCGCTCGAAATTGTTCATGAGATATAAATCTTATATCTTGCGAGCTTTCAAGGAATGAGATGTTCACTGATCTGTATGCTTTGAACCTGAAGTGGGTCACCATCCAGGGCATAATTGAGTATGCCAATATCAGATTCATTTATCCGAATATTGAAACAAACTCAATTATCGCAATATGTTGTAGTCCTCGCCATGCACACACTGTGGTGTTTATTTGACTGAAATGCAAGCGAGATGTGGTGCATGTAAGATGTGCAAAATGTACAATTTACTGCAGTTCAGGATGAATTGTCATGTCATTGTGTTGTCACTATGGAGCTGCCAATCAGCTTGGAGGATTCAAATTTGTTTGAAGATTCCAGAATGTTGTTTGTTGTTGCTTGCTTTGCAGGTGATATTCATGTTGCAATCTTTGTAACTTCAATTGTTTGACTCAAAAACATGTAACTTGTCTATACAACTTGTTTCCTAAAAGTCAAAATAAATAGAACAAAATAATGAAGCCATGAAAAAGGAAGAACAGTACATAGAACTAATGTTATCAAGAGGCACAAAAGCTGTTTTGAGGGAAACCACAATAACATGGGGATGGAACATGTTCCTGGGCTTGTCTGAATTCTGTAGCAGTCAGTATTTTGGTAGAGCAACTCATTGACACATGCTGCTGAAGACAAGCCCCAGGGGAGTGGTGGGTATTTATAGGCTGTCAGGTCTGCATTCCTCACCCAGTGAAGCTACCATCACACCCCCCCCCACCATTTATCATATAATTGCTGGGGCTTGGTTTACCACAAGTTTACTCAGAGTTTGTGATGGTTGTGTGGGTTCTGTGACCTTTGACATTCCAGTGACACAGTTTGTGTCCTCTGTTGCACTCAGTGGGTGTGACCAATTTAATGCAGTTGCCCAGCAGGAAATGTTGTTAAGCAAGTTTTGCCTAGCGAAAGTCTTGTGAGAAAGCACAAGTCTACTTAGAAAGCTCAAGTCTACTCAGAACTAGTCCAAAGTAATTTACAGTGTCATAAAATGCCTGTTAAACTTGTATTTGTTGTGTTTTAATGAAATTACTCTGCTGAGTGGGTCAGTGAAATTTGCTCCAGCAGTCAACTAAAAAGGAGTTAATCAAAACAACGTGATCGTTATTTTGAATTCTGTGAAAGTTTTGTGATAACATTCTGGAAAGAGATTACCTTGAATGCATCATAAGCAGACTGCTTGTTGGAGAATCCGTGAATAAACACTCGACGTTTCGCTTTCATGTAGTGAGGTTCATCTTCAGGGGAAGTGGTGGACTCCTCACTCAACATTTCTGAAGATGATCAGAACATGCAGATTAAATGTTGAGTCTTTCATATTGCTTCAGCAAATACTTTGCAATGTACTGTAATTTTCAACCACATGGTACTTGAAATGCTGCTTTCATTTTTAATGTGTTTGATTTTTTTGTCTCAATAGGCCAAAGAAACTGACTTTGAAGGGCTACAAGCGAGGGTATTTCATCTTCAGAGACACGCATCTGACGCAGTACAAGGCACAAGAGGACAACCATGGGCCACCTGTGCAAACGCTCAACCTTAGCGGTATGCTACTTACGGAGTCTTTAGTAATACCTTATTCTTATTCATGATGTACAAAGGACCCAATGTCATGTCAGTCTGAGAGTTTGTAGAGCAAGTGACTTGGGGTACGGCAGTGCTGATAGAGCCAAGCTCTCACTCCTGCATTGTTTTTGAATGAACTACGCCACACTTTATTTCAAGTGTGCACTGTTGATATTCCAAACTGGCTCATTTTTCTTGTCATTTAGTTTCGATGGCCAAGTGTTGTTTTACTGTTTAGGGAGAACTTGTTGCTTTAGTTTGAATACTAAAGGTCCATGTACCGGTAACGTTCTGTAGCCAAATGTTAAAACAGAGATTGGGAAATTATCAATGATGGCATTTTTAAATGGGTATAAACTCCATACACGGGCAGCTGATGGTACTGTGTGATCACTCAATAGAGCTAATTTTCATCTGAATGTGTACAAAAATCAAAGAATTTTCACGCTGGCACTTGATGCACAGTAGGCAATGGTGTTCTGTTGCGTGTCATTTCTTTCTGTCATTGTTGAGGGTATGACTTGTGCATGGAGGTTACAGGTTCAAGTTCACTGTACTTTGATGAAGGGTACCTGTTTTGACAATCACAGTTACATTATTCACAAGTATTCTGTCAATCATGCGTACATAAATTTTATGAACAGGTGCTTCACGCTTCTACACATTTGGTTAAAAGAGGAATGTGTTCACCTTCTGTGCTCAATTAATTTTTCCTTTATTGGCTGTCGTAAGTAGATGGCACATCACCATATACAGTACCCATGCAGTCCAAAATGTTGAATTTCTTGTAACTGTACTCTCTTAAGACCATCCTGCCTCTGTGTTTGTAAAACATTGTGGATAAAGCAGTTGTGTGTGATATCCCACGAGGGAAATCTGACATTGTCATTGCACTGTTTGCTTGATTAAATGCAGTGTCCATGGGATACTAACACCTTTGAACACAACTACAGTAATAGACTTCTAATAGAGGTTAATGTCTTCCAATGTGCTGTGTTTCTTGTGAAAGCACCCTTTTGTCAGATCGTATCTCAGGGGGAATTTCCAATTTGATCACTTATTTGAAAAGCTTCAGACGGTTAAGTTGCAATTGCATGTGGTGTGGTTGATCCTCGATGACAGCTATTCACGAGGAAAGGGAAAGATTGAAACCTCGTGGGAGAAATGAGTTTAGAAAATACACAGACGATTTCCTTTTTCTGTATTGAAAGTATCTTGCAGCTTGGAATTTGCTTATTTGTCATGATTTCTAGTTGTTGTGCAGAAAAGTGACATTAAAGGGAGGGAAAATAAAGCAAGAGAAAAGCAAAGAGCGCATGCGTGTATCTCTCAAGTCAGACCTTTTGCTTCCATTTTTCGGGGGGAGGGATCTGAGCTTGGTACTTTCAACATGCACCATCTGTCGGCCCATTTTCCAAATATACTCATCTCTTCTATGTAACATCATCTTTCCAACGCGTGTCCCAAGCCACTGAAACTACTCTGATACATTTCCTCATCATCACACTTGACACATTTTGAGACGAGTTGATACGAAAGCTGTGCATATGTTTATTGATGCATCAATTTCGTCTTCGCCCGTGCAGGTTGTGAGGTGTCACATGAAGTCAGCATACCCCATGACAAGTACGGCATCAAACTGTTGGCCAAGGCCCCGGAGGGACCCATAGAGTTGTGGCTGCGGTGCGAATCCGTAAGTTAGACAAGAGGCACAGATGGATAGCCAGGGAGATTAACATTCAGAGACATGGACAGATACTGAGGCATAGTTACCCACAGAAGATTTCTGTCTTACCCTTCTCGTCTCAAATATGCAAATTAATCTTAAAAGAGTTAGGGGTTTTTTTTTACCGTCTCACCACTGGGGGATGGGTATGTTGGGGTTGAATTTCACCTCTCCTAGGAACTGGGCTGTCCCACGTCCAGTCTTGCTTAGTAAGTTGCATTCAGGTATGAGCATCATTTCAAACCATGTACAAGACACTTTGTAGTGACAAATATGACTACATTTACTTGTGAGTGTTAGAACTAGTTGGAATGCCGCTACTCTAATTGATTGGTTTTCGTTGGGGTATTATAAATCCCTGGTATAGTCCTAAACTCTACAGTAGTGCGAATACAAAAGCCCTCTATCTGGTTGGATTTTAGTAGTACTATGGTACAACCCTTTGGTGATGGTACCAACACCTGAGGTACAAGTATTGTGATTACTGAAACTCTGTGGTTGGTCTTTAGAAGTACGACAATCCTTACGTCTTGTCACTTTTGCTATGAGACTACAACCCATGGGTGTACATGTACTTGTGTAAATCTAATGTAAACGGGTACTTGAGAACAAGGTTGAGTGCTGCAACACTGTCTCTGATGCACACACACAAGTGCAACTTCAAGGTGGAGCAACACAGAAAGAGATAAGAGAGGTACTTCCATGGACAGAAATGCGAACAGGGTTAGAGGAAGAAACTGAGACAGTAAGCAACCCAGATACAGGCAGATACAGGTAGAGACTGATGGAATGTGCTCTGCTGAGAGATAGTGAGATCTGGCAATGACAGATGCCGCGGTTTAGAGGAATGATGTAGAAATGTTGCCTCAGTTCACTTTCGTTGTTGAAATATCTGACTGGCCATGTTCCCTTCAGCTATTGCAGTGCACACTAATTGATTGGATAATGTCAAGTGGATTTGGCATTGTGACATGACGTAACATTCCAACTGATAATAAGTGATGTGTAATCTAAGGTCGGAAGTATGTTTGCCAGGTTAATGTCTCTGATTTTCCCCAAAATGTAGAGATGCTTTCTCACATGACCTGTTGAAAAAAGGTGGATCATCGCCCAAGCTTGGTTGTTCATATTGGCATTTTGATTGAGCAAGGCCAGAGAACAAATGAACTGACCATAGTTGGCCTAAAACAATATGGTTTGTTTTAACTGCTAGTCTACATAGTGAGATTGTGGGATTGTTACTGAAGTACAAAGGCAGCAGGTAATGCACACAATCCGGTGGAGAGGGGGGCGGGAATCTGCATCTGAGTCTATATTCTGCAGTTATTTACCCAGTCAAAAGCAGGTTGAACTTTGTGTTTATACAGAAGGTAGAGCTTACAAATGCAGTGAATCTCAGTGCTGCCAAACATTTTTGAAATTTTGCACTTACTGCAAAATAACTCTTTTGATTTGATTGACGCCTCCTGTGATTTACATGCATGCAGCAATTTGTGTAGTTCAAAAGCAAAATAGAAATGTATGCACAGTGAAAATATTGAACTGGCTTATGGGACCCTGGGACACATTTGTACCGGTTCCCAGTAACCTTCGTTTAGTGGCTAAATACAGAAACTGAATTGGGTGAAAAGTTAGCAGACGACAGAAACTGTGCACTGCCTTGAGATCTTATTGTGTCAGAATTGTTTCAACAAGGGTCTTTTGAGTAGATCTGCATTGTGCGTGCAACTCGGCTAAGGAGAGTTTGACTTCTGATCGGCCCCGGGCATTGCTAGGGCCACCCGTCAAAGTTGGGCACCTTCTTTTATATATTGACACCCAGACTCTTCGTGTGTGTTGTATCAGGAGGAGCAGTACGCCAAGTGGTTGGCCGCTTGTCGGCTAGCTTCGAAGGGAAAGACAATGGCAGACAGTAGCTATCAGTCAGAGGTTCAAGGCATCCAAGCGTTCCTCAGCATGCAGCATAGTAAGAAGACCTCCAGCCCTTCCATCACCACGGAGAATGTGGACATTCAGGCAGAGGACTACGTGTCTCCGAGGTTCCTCAAGAAACACAAACCTAAGCAGGTTGGTAATCGTTGCGGCATGATATTCTTCCCTCCCTCCCAAAAAGGGGGTCCTTGACCAGAAACCACGTACTTGGAAAGCTGATAAAAAGGGAGGTTTATTGAGGGATGAGGATAGGAAATTGAGGTTAGTTAGGATATGAGTAACTGGAATTATAGCAAAAATTAGTTGCCGTCATTATGAATACAGCGTTGGTGTTGTACATGTTCACTTTTTTTGGCAAGATCAAATTGTATTTTACATCAGCTGTTAGAACTCTCCGATGACTCAGAATTTTACCGCGTAGATTTCCTTATGAATGAAGTTTTGTTTGTTTGCACCCAAGAGGATTAGGGAAATGGTTTAGTTATTGTTTGCTAGTATAATTTTAGGGCCAGTTTGTTTCATGCGGATCGAGATCTCGATCAGTGATTCTATCGCTGGTTTACTCCATCCATTAGGCGGGGCTTTGGTGTCAGTAAACCAGTGACGGATCACTGATCGCAATCCAGATCCGCGTGAAGCAAACTGCCCCTTAGTCTGGAAGGACAGTTGTTCATTTTGAAAGACACTTTACCTTTCTGTTTTGAAAGCTGATTGAAAGGCCCATACAAAATTGGCATTGAGCTAATCAGCCACTGTCAATGCCTCTAGGGTAAACCAGTTATAGCTGTCATAAAGTTAATGTATATTAAATATTGCTCGTTTCAAATTTTTGGATCAAAGCATAACAATGTTCAGATGTAATCATGACATTTGGCTTAAAAAGTCAGTCGCTGTTTTCTACATTAAATTGTGATCCGTCTCTTTCTAAAATATGCAGCTAAAAAAGGTTTAATGTTAAAAACAGCTGTCAGGTCCATTTTGGGGAGGGGGTTTCAGAAAATTCTTTGCACAATTTTAAGAGTCTGTTGTTCTATCCTCACTGGCTCTTTGAAGCCAGTTTCATGCTTAGCAACTTTCCTTGCTCCAATGTTCCAAGCACGTCCAGCTTTTAAGATTATGTCCATTGGTCCGACAAATAGCATGGGTAATACATGTACATTATGGAAGCTAGCCAAAAGAGGAGGAACCATCATTTGGAAATCTACCAAATTTGCCATACAAGGTTGCCATTTTTTGGTTTCCCTTTTGTGACTAGTCACACATGTTTTTTAAATAACGCATTGGACAAACGTCATGTGATGAAGCCTCCCACCATGAGCAACGTGCATGTAGGAGCAAATTGGAATGAATTTGCTCATGCACTCATACGGTGCTTGCCACAGAGTTTGTAATGTGGACGTCATGTAAGCTTGTTTATGGTACAGTAACAATGTGTAAACTTCACAAGTGCAACTGTTGCAAATTTGGCAGGGAGTGTTTGTATTAGTGAAGTTGTGTCCCAGAACGATGTACTTATATAGTAATTGTTTCTATTAGAGGAATGATATTTATAGGACTGAGTAAATCATGTTTAAAACAAAGTGCCGTGATTAAACAAAAGGCACAAGTTGTTCAAACTGTGAAGTGAATTTTGCAGACCATTCTTAGAAGTCCCACATATGGGAAATGTTTTCGTACCGAGCAATTGAATATGTATTGCTTTGGAAGAAAGTATATTGATGTGAGGATGATGAGCATACAATGGAGTAAAAATCACATCAAGTAAACTGTCAATGTATACAGAATTTGCTTATCTTATGCTTAATGTCCACAGCTGTGAAATTTAGTAAGTTACTTGAATACTTGAAATAGAAGTCTGTGTGTCATTTGGATCAACTTTGTATTAATTACAGGGACTGACATAGTCAAAACTATCTTTTATTTCATATCCTGGTGATATTTTACAAAAGTATATTTTTGTCTTTGCACAATTGTTAAGAGATGTGTCTATTAAGGAACAGTTTTATTTATGCAGTGGGATAGGTTGAGAATTTTTTTTTTTTTGGTAAATCAACTTTCCCTTTTAAGTAGGGCAGCAATAAAATGTTGAGGATTGATCAGTGTCATACATGGGAAAAACACAACACTAGTTGAGTAGAAAGATAAGTCTGAAGCAGGAAGTAAATTGGTACACATTTCCTCTGAACTAAACTGTACATGAAACAAAATTGCATCTGGTAAACCTGTATTTTCCTGGTCAGCTTTTCCTGCCAGTACATTTTTTTTGGGGGGGGGGAGTCGGATGTAGACCCAAATTTCATATGTAGTCATTTTTGATTGCCATGTTCATATGGGTTCCTTTCTGCTTTCATAACAGGAAGTATGTTTGAACCTACGCGTGTTTGTGTTTGCTTGGTATTACATTGGCATTGTTCAGAGTAATCATTGGCAATTTTGTAGAACAAGGATCTTCCTTTCCTCTTGAAAGATGAACATTTGAAACAAAAATTCAAAGGTACCATGTTAGCACGTAGAAGATGGACCATCCCAAGTTTAGTTCGTCACCCCCCCTCCTGATTTGGATTCCAGCCAAGATGCTTGGATGGTTCCTTTTATGTACTCATGACTTGCACAGTTTGGCCATACCAAATCTAAATACAGAGTACATTGCTATGGGCTGTGTGCACTGACTTTCAACTACATGTACCACTGTCTTTTGGGATTGGCGCACTGCATGTGCGTATGTGTTCACACATGTAGAATGTGGAGTGAGTGTACCCACAGAATTCTGTAGTCTGCATGTTTTTATATTCAAATAACCACAGCATTGGAATTCACTGAAGACATTTTATATTCATGGATGTTACAAGTGAATTTTGAACCTAATTTCAATGCTTTTTAACACAGGTAGACATGCATGTATATCAGAACAAACAATAGCAGCCTATATCTTGCACTTGTGGTGAATACTCTCCTAATACGTTGCTTACAGGTTGCTGCGCGCATTCTTGAGGCGCACACCAGCGTCCGGAACATGAAGTTGATGGATGCCAAGCTGAACTACATCAAGGCCTGGCAAGCGCTCCCGGAATACGGCGTCACCTACTTCGTGGTCAAGTTCAGAAACTGTAAAAAAGAGGTAAAATACGTTAAGTACTATGCACTTTGAGACCAAGAATTGCAATAGATTGATGGAAGTATAGCATTGTACATGTACCATGCTTGTCTTACCCACAGAACATCACTACATATCTCATCGAAGAGGCTAGGCTCTGTCTATCAAGGTTAATATTCTTCCATTACCAGTGCATTGTGGCCCACCATCCAAGACATCCTTTTTCTTATTTAGGCTAGCGCACACAACCTGAAAACGTGTTTCTCATTAGTTCCTGTATTTTCTTATTGCTTGTCGTCTCCTTAAACCATCAGTCACTCTTACCTCTCTGTAGTTATCGTCTTCTTCCTTTTGGATATCCTCCATGATTGTGGAGTGACTTGTTAGTAATGTTTGGTAGTGAGTTTTTCAGGAGAAGATCCTGAACCTGTTGAGAGCACATGGCCTTGTGGTTAGGGTTTGTAGCTTCCGATCATAGGTTAGGAGGTTCAAACCCAGCTGGTGGTGACCTGTTGTGATCTACGCAAGTCACTGTACCCCTTATGTGCCTGTCTCCAGCCAGGAGTAAGTGGGTACCTGTGAGGGCAGATTGGGTTATTATGTTTATCCTTTTCCCCCTGATATGGCAGCATCAGCTTTGTACATGTATACTCCCCACAGAGCTGAGAAGGTCTCATAAATGTTCAGAAGTTGTGAGCCCAAGATGCAGGGATAAAAAATATATCGGTGCTGTTGAATGACATACTGTAAGATACTATGCACTTAATAGATGTTTTCATAGTATTATTATTATTGAACTTTGCTATTACATGTACCTATGCTAACAAATCCTGCACCTGATTTGTTTGATGGATGTAGGGGTGTGCCGTTTGGCAGGCTTTGGGAAGAAATGGAAGTGAAATAGTGCCCAAAATAGGTTTTCTCTCATTTTTCATCAAAATCTCAGAAATGCTCCTTTTGGGGAGGAGTGTATGACCCCTATTGGCAACCCTTATCCAGTAATGTCTCAGAAAGGTCCCAAGAAAAACGGCAAAACAAATTTGTGTTGTGAATGTTAAGGAAATTCCTGGCTTTGTAGGAACAGCTGTAGAGTGTGGTCAAATTTCTTTAGTTTGTAGGATTCGCAACTGGACCTTTACTGAGCTTCTTTTCATCAAGTTGTTGCTGGAAGGTCTTTTTGTGACTGCAAGTAATCAATTGCCTTTTTCCCAACAGGAGCTGATCGGTGTGGCCTATAACCGCCTGATCAAGATGGACATCAACAGCGGCGACTCACAGAAGACATGGCGTTACAGCACCATGACGGCGTGGCACGTCAACTGGGAGGTCAAGGAGGTCCTGGTACAGATGGAGGACGAGAACATCCAGTTCTCCTGCGCCTCAGCCGACTGCAAGGTGGTGCACGAGTTCATCGGGGGTTACATCTTCCTCTCCATGAGATCCCTGGACTCCAACCAGACCCTGAACGAGGAGATGTTCCACAAGCTGACGGGTGGATGGGTCTGAAGACCGTTGTTGCAATAATCAACACATGTACATACTGTAGTTATCTCAGAATCAAGGACAGACTTCTACAAGTCTTGGGGTTGGAGGAACAAATTTTTTCTTTGTATTTGACAAAAAACCAGTTCATCTACTGTCTCACTTGGACAAATTTTGAATATTGCCTTGATGCAAGTTTGTTTGCAAACCACGGAATTAGTTGGACATTTGTAACTTAAAAATACTTGGAGGGAGCATTTTCGACAAGAAGTAGGAGTTTTGGACGGTGTCTGTAGAGGATGTGCGACTTGGAACATTGAAGGTGTTGTTACTAAAGACCTACATGGATGTGGATCCTTGGAAGAGTTGACGAAGGGAAGAAGAAGTACAACACCACCTACGGGGTAAAGAGTTCAAAGGTTAACTTTGTCATGAATGCCTGCCATATGGGGAGCTGAAGAACAAAGCTTTAAGACAACTTCATCTTGAAGCGGCTGGCATCGCTGCAGAGAGTAATATTTGATGTTTGCTGAATAGTTGTTGGAGGTGGTTGTTGGGATTAACTTGGAAATTTGTCTCCATGAGAAAGAGGTTGTGCTCTACGAAATGCTGGGTGATGTAGCAGTGACAGGAATAAGCAGCAACAAGCTGATTCTGTACATAATTTATAAATAGTGTATCCCTTTTAACAGCAATTTGAATTTAGTTTTATGAATTTTTAATGAACAAACGCATTTATCAATTTCAGCACATGGCACAGAATAGACGGGAAAAATTTTGGAGGAAACAAAAACAAAGAATTGCTGCCTTTCTGTGATGCTCTGCAAGTTCAAAGGCGAACCTGCTGTATATATAGCCATACACATAGGTCAAAGGTTAAGGTGTGCATGCTGGTGACCTCATTAATATTGAAATGTATGTGCACATTTTTAAATATTAAAGCAGCCTCTCCTTTTTAAGAGATATGCTTCTGTTCGTTATTTCATTTTTAACCAACTTTCAGAATGTAATCCTAACACATGGAGCCTATATTTAGATTAACTGTTACCTTAGATGTCTTTAAAAATCTGGTCTTTTTTAGCAACTGTACAAATATTTTCTAACGCTTTTTATCAAATTTACCCAATTAAGTAGATGACGCATTGAGCAAGTAGAAAAATTGTTCTTACGCAATCATGTTAAGTTTAATAGAGAAAAAAAGATAAAGGCTGATTCTTGTGAGGAACAAAAATCCCGTACCGGTAGTTGCTTAATCCTCCAAAAAAAAAAAGGGTTGGAACAGGTTAGTTTCAATATTGATGGCCTTAACCAATGAAGCACTTAGAATTCTCTGTCATTTAATCAACAAAAACAAAAATGAACATTTGGGCTAACTTTTGCGGTGGAGAACCATTCAGAATTCTTAATCTAAAGGCCAGTTGAGGTGGAAGGAAACAGACATGCCCTCGGTAAGATTCGAGTGATGATTGGCTGTCCAAATCTTACCCACCAGTTGTAATACTAAGCAGAGTGGATTCAGTTCTCACAGACAATCTGACTTTTTGATAAATTTTGTCGAGTTGTTAATATGTCCTTGACCAAAGGAGCATTCATTCAATGAACTTAGATGATGAAATGCTGCCTCAAGAGTTTCCAAATCCGCAGAAATGATGGCATTTTGTAATTTGTTTCTATTGGTCTAAACTAAAGATGCATTTCCAGATGTACATTTCTTGATGTGTCGAGTACACAGTGTATTCATGTGTTTCACTTTCACGGACCAGGAACATAAGACATGTGTGCATTGCATTCACCACGGGAGCGATGTTGACAGATATGCAACGCTTGGCACAAGTGTTGATGTGCATAGGGAAAGGTGCCTTTTAGTTGTTTTATTTGGTGTATGTGTTGGGCATGCCAAGTCACCAGGCATACACTGTTCGTGGAAAGTTGGGTTGTTATGCAAGAAGTGCCAAGTACAAATTTTTGCATTTGCAGGTTAACAGGGGTATGGCACCAGACTATTTCATAGCTGAAGACTGCTTCATGTGTGTATAACTTGTCCAGAACTATATAATGAAGCAGCAGTGCATTTAGTCAGAAGCATTGACAATATTAAAGTGCTTATACAGTCTAATAACAGAGGGTACCAGACACAATTCAAGTGTAAGCTTGTTTTTGTTCAGCTTCCCGTGTTGTGGACGCTTGTAATTGAAATTCACATTTCTACAAATCATGGGCCCCACAAAAATCTGCTACAGCATCAGACTCTGAAAGACCACTAGAGCCGGTAGTTTTATTTGCTAGTGACGTTCTGTGCATTGTTGTACCATAAGTTGTATGGACTTTCCATGAGGGCCTTTCATTTCCAAAGAGCCAGAAGTCAATGAAGTTTTCTCAATGAACTTTTAAGTGGCAGTGAACCAACCTCAAGCTTCACCTAAAGTGCATGTTTTAAAGTCTTTGTGCATAGCCTTCCTGCAGATTTCTTTTCCACCTTGGAGACTTGACATTAATCAGTTTTGCCAAGCATTGATTTATTTTTCCATCCGACGTGCTGTGACAGGCTTTAAACTCCTGAGAATTGGGGGGGGTGTCAGTCAGTGTTGCATCAACTTCTAATTAACCAGTTGGAAGAAACATACATGTAGGATTGTTAAGAAACTCAAAAATAGGTTTTCTACTTAAACCTTTGCATTTAGAGAAAAATTTGGGGGAAAATCCGATTTTAATTTCAGTTTTCAGGATTTCCTTCTTTGTCAATTTGCAAAGGGCAGCCTCTCCATCTGAAATTTTTGACTCACTGCAACATGAAACATCCTGTTGTATGGTTTCTGCAATTTCTGTTCTGAAACAGTAAATGAAAGTTGGTCTGATGTATATCAAGGAAGCGTTTCCCAATATAGCATTACATCCACGTTTCGAACAATATCAGAATATGATAGGGGAACCGTTTGACTTTGGGCGGTCCCTAAATGTCAGAACTGTCTCTTAAGGTTAAATATAGACCATTCACTGGACTGACCCTAGTAGTAGTTGTCACTGAATCCCTGTCTGACGTCCATTTGTTTTGTGTGTGTAAGTATGGGCTAATTACAGAGATAGGAGTTATGATAGATGGGTTTTGGTATGTTGTGGTTAGCCTTGACTTGTGAGTGAAGTCCTATTTGTAACATAACCCTAATCGGCTGAGTATCGCTTTGGCCATTAAGGACCGTATGCCACAGAATACATCAGATATTATATTAAGTGTAGTAATGTATACTAAAAAGTAGTAGAGGAATTGTGCACTGGTCGGCTACAGCACTGGGTACTAGAAGTATTATTTTGAGATCAGTTTTAAGGCCTACCACAAGAGTTGTATTTACTTTACCGATGTTATTGTCAAAGATTAAAGGTGACATTGCTGTTGAGTGACATTTGCCGGAAATACTCCTGACTCATATTGTAGTTTGTATCTCCACTCGATCGAAACCGCCATTGACCCAGATTTGGAAATACCCTCGCCGTCGAGAGAAAGACTTGTGGAATGCCGCTGACCAGATGTTGGGCAAATGCCAGATGGCTGAGAAGTCAGGGATAAGCTGCTTGCAAAACAGAGCTAATATACCTTCGGCATGTAACAGTTCTAGAAAAGCAGCCCCTAGAAGCAATGCACTGCACAGTGTGAGGTTTGTTTAATTTTAAAGAGCTTGTAGAGGTTCTTTTAAAAAAGGAGTGTTGTCACTAGGCTGTTTTGACAATGCTGAGTTTGTCCTGGTTGTTTGCAAGCCCAACTACATTTTGAGAACAGTACCTTTGCTTTGCTGGAGAGACTTCTGTTTAATGTGAATTGAATTAGAATTATTCTGTGAGTTGGGCCATGTCATCAAATTCACTTAGCTCAAGTCGGCTGTTGCTTGAATTTACTCACAAGTCTGCTTGTGGCTCCAGCTACTTCCTACTGTATTGTGTAAATGTAATGAGTAATCCCCAGTCAAGTGATTTGCGGTCTTATGTTCTCTACTGCCCTCATTTTTATGTACATTTATGTCAGAGCTTTTGCTTTATTTGTCAACATAGGTATTAACGTCTTCCTTGATGTTGAAATATTTGCATTTCTGGGTGTTTTTTCCTCCATATTAGTGCATTATGTCATGTGTGTCAGATACCTATTAAATAAGGAATTCTCTTCTCTGTAGTGATGTTTTTAAATTCTGTATTTTATAAGTTTCTGTGTCCATCAAAAAGATACCTACATGCACATTATAGGATTCGAACTCTAACTTATAGACTACTAGTGTAAACTGTCTCTTCACAGCTGATGGCATGGGTTCAAATCCGCCATTTGTATATCTTTCTTTTTTAAACAGGCACTCCATACATCTTAATTTGGAGTGAATTTTCTTCACAGGCTCTCCATACATTGTAAATTCACTGTGGTAGTGCGGGAAAGGCTAAACCACTGTTGATCATCCCGGCATAGTTTTTATTTATAGTACCATTTTAATTGAATATATGAATTTACTTTAAAATTGTAAGAACCCTACGTTTTTGACTGTGTGTTGATTGTGTGTTGGAAGTAAACTTAGAGATAGGGCTGTAATCGAGTCCATCTCAAGTCTTTCCACAAGTAACGAGGTGAACAATAATCAAAGAATGTTTTTATTGTCACAGTTCAGTGGAATTGCTTCTCAATTGGGTTGAAAATGGATAGCCTTGTGATGGACTTCCAGGGACTTGCGATGGACTTGTGATATGTTAGCTTAAGTCAGAGAGCTTTCAGTGGTGCCTGTGATTTGCTCTGTCTTCAAATATCCTGAAAGGTTCTTCCAGTGAATGAGATTGTTAGGTTTTCAATTTTGTGTATTATTATACTTTTTAGTTTCTTGTTCATGCCAGTTGCATAAATGACTTATATTTTCCGTCATTAAGCATGCATGTATGTACAGACTAACTTTACTTATGTAGTCAGCCTTTATTTCTGTGCAAATCATGTTAGATACAATCCACATTACACTACACGTTGAGGGCAGTTTGTTTACAGAGGACCTGTTCTCTTGTTCTGGTCCTCAGTAGCATAACTATGGGGGGCATTGGTACAACTTAACCCCAGGTAAATTCCAAAATCCCATAAAGCATTTGACAACCAAGGCAACCTCGTCCACTTGTGGACTTTTTTATCTCAACTCTGGCCAAACATTGGTTAGAAATTGTATATCTCTTAGGATAAATGGTATAGTATGCTTGGTGTCAAATTTGTCAGTGAGATTTGTATGTCAGACTAAAAAAAACTGTTTGTAAAAGTGCCCGTAAGTTGTTCTGTGCATAAGCATATAACCAATATGTCCCATTCTTTTACAGTTTGCTTTGCCAACTATTGTTTCTCTGTTAAATTTATGCTGAACTATTTTATAAACTTGTACATATATTTTAGTATATGAAATGTAATACTGAGTCTGCCCACTCGTTCCTCAGAACAATCTGGAAAACTTTTTGATGACAGTTACTCTTTAATAGTTTGAGATGATCGCGTAGAATTTTCACCATTTTTCAAGACTGGGATCTTGCGACAAATGTTACAGGAATGAAATATTTAGAAAAGAAATAGCGAAGTAGCAGACGAGGGGACAGTGGAAGTAATGGTTGATGGTAACTGTGTATAGAATTTTGTTATTTTTAAAAAGGAAAATATTGGTACTTTGCCTGCATGCTGGGTGCATCAAATTTATGGTTTTAATATCAAGCATAATCTAGAGTTCTAATCCTGTGACCAGACAATAATAAAGTAATGTTTTATACATAAAACAGCAGTTCCCGGTGTGTTTTTGAGTTGGCTATCAACAAATCTCCAAGATGAAGCTTCTTCCGTGAAGCAGTGCATTAACCGTGAGCACATCACAAATATTACGAGACACTTTGACAACAAAGCCATTTGTACTGCAACTGTGTGGCACCCTTCACTATGCATAAGCTGTTAATTACACCTGCTGGTATCTAGAGCAAAGCATTTGCACAGGTTATTTTGTCAGCCACTGATGCGTTAACATCGTATTTAGTTCACAGCGATTTAGGACTTTTTTTTATAGAATTGAATGCAGACCTCAACACAGAAATCACTTTCAATTCAGCTGTGAATTGTTGGCACTAAGAGAACCAAACCAGTTGGAACTGCGAAAAGGAAACCACATTTTGAGTTCCTAGGTAAAAGTGAAAATTACGCAGCACTCTTCACTTTTGATACTTAAAAAAGTTTTATTGATATAAGTACATTTCATTTCTCATACCTCAAACTGTGAACCATGTGTTAATGAGCACTACAGTTTATAACCTCAAACTCAAGGTAATGAACAAGGTGTGACAAGTACCACTGTGTAAGAAGAGAATGCCTGGACTCAGTTTTGTTTTAAAGGGTGGGGGGGGAGAGTTTGGACCGGATTGTGGAATTTCTGTATCCAAAGAAAGATTGACAGGTGTGGGTCTCCACACCTGCAGAACAGTTGTGTGAATATGCTTGTGTACATTCAAATCCATTCAAATGAAAACTGCTCATGCATATTCTGCATTATACACACATAAATTGGTGAAATGTGTCATTATACAGTGGTTCATGTGTTAGGCGTCACACCATCTATAACCTGCATGGAGTCCATAAACACTACACATGCAGATTTCATCCAACACATTACCACTAATTGGCTCAGCAAGCACACATCGTTATCATGATACAACTTCAACATCCTCTAGAAAGGAAACCAAAACTGCGGACTTCTCTCATTACATTGACATATCTCACTTTTCCTTACCATGTTACAGATGAAGCGATGATTTAATCTGCTGCAACGTGAAGCACCTGCCAAAACAAAATCCGGCCAAAAAAAAGGGACATTGCAGGCTAGAAATATACAATTTCCATTTAGATGGTTAGTCATATTCAGTTTCAAAACTTATACTGTTATTACGTGTACAGAGATGATAATAGAAAGATCACTATTGGCAAGCAAAATAAAGATGGTGGAAAGCTGCATACGGCGTCGGATGACATCCTGTAATAAAATTACCCAGCCCAAAAAGTGGAGTTCATTGAGCATCTTCTCCTGCAATTAATTGGACACCGATTCCTCCAATGACAGAGCAAAACAGTCCATCATACAAAATATTAACTGAAGTTATTCCAATTCTATATACAAATGACGCTTATCTTTCACTGATTTATATATCTTAATTATACTCACAATTGGCTTGAGATACTTTGAAAAGATCAACTATTGCACGTGTATACAAGTACATGCTTACATTCCTATGCCTAAAATGTTGAATTGCAAGTTTGCAAGGTACATGTACATCTTATCCAGAATTTCTATGGCGTAATCTCCCAAGCAATGCTATCTTCCAAATTATTTCCACTGAAGTTACAATGCCACAGAGGTTCAGATTTCAAGTTACATTCTACAGATGCCACTATTTCCCCACAATTCCAAAAAAAGGATTGTCCATCATGTTTATATTGAGCAACCCCTAGTCAGCAAAGGAACTGAAATCCAACTAATCCTCCAGATGAAATTGGACCACTGCAGTACAAGAAACGCAGTCACAATTAAGATGTGACTTTCCTTACAAAGTTGCATGTTGCCGTCACTCGCTATTGACACTGACAAAATAATCTACACAATCTTTGCAAGCAGCAGTAATTATTCGTGACTGAGCATTTACAATCTGATGGTGACAAAATGGCTGTTTTGATTTAATCACAAGGTCTCCCAAAATGAATCAGTTACACCAGGAGTAAGTAAATTAAAGTAATGGCAGATAAGTTAACTAGGGAAATGGCAATTCAGACAGGCTTAATTAAAAACTTAAATGCTTTTGGGTTAAATGAAAATCTAATTTAAATATGAGCCATTAGTGACATCCATTTAATTACCCCTAAATGTGGTTTATCACCTGAAGTCATTAACGCTGTATCAGTGGTGATTATCTCCGGCGATTAGCAAAGAGCGCGGTGTAGAACTCGGGGACGGAGAGGCGACTGCGATACTTGTTAGCCATGTCCTGAATCTTCTGCCGTCTCTTGACATGAGGCGGGGAGTACCTGATGGAGACAAGTGGGTTAGTTTATTCTTTTGGGCACAGGAAGTCTGAAAGGTGGTGCTGTAGTGGAGTCCCTCAAAAGTCCAGCCACAAGTCCTATCACAAATCAGTCACAAGTTCATCCGCAACTCCAGTCACAAATATTTCCATTAGACCACTGACAAGTAACACAGACAATGACAATGGCATGTTTTTGTCACAGTTCATTTGAAGAACTTGTGGCTTGTGATAGATTTGTAGGGACTTGATGATGGTCTCCACCATAAACTTCCTTGAGGACAAACAGGCCTGTTAACCACTTGCTCCCGGGTGGAATTTGAAGTTGCATGACGTAAAACCGGGAGATTTTCAAGATTTGCTGTTTTCAAAATTCTTCGAAAAATCATAACTTCATTTACTGGACATTTACTCCCACACAAATGACTGTCTGGTGGCTACTTTAATCTAGCAGACAAAATCTACTGATGCCCGAGTATTTCAGCCTGGCCTGCCGCCTTGTAAAAAGAGCCCAGATTGTGCGGTGTTATGTAAGTTTCTTTTGTTCCCGAAATCGGCACAGTGCACTTCTGGCATCTTTTCAATAGGGGCCAGATTAGCGTCAGTGGCATTGTATCGCTCATCACTGGAGCGCTAGAGTGCTTTTTTCCCCGTTGGTAATCTGCTCACGCTGAATGCCACAAACAGTGGTATCATCTTTCAAAACAATGATGGATTTCCTATGGATTTTTTCAACTGAAAAATCGTTAGCAATTCCCAGCAGCTTAGTCTTTTGTTCTGAGTACGGTCTTTTGTTTCGGGCTCCCCGGTTTCGTGTATAAAGCCCTATGTGCCCGAAACCAGGCTCCCCGGCAGCATATGGTTAACATTTCATTTAACATTGTGGTGTATGATTGGTCCCAAGTACATTGTTTTTAAGTTATCAGTTTCTAACAGAGTGAACAAAAACAATAACGTAACTCACGAGTCTGTTTCCATGCGTTTCCTGTGGCAAGCATTGATGGCGGTTTGTCTGACTAACGTTCCAAGGGATCTACGACTGACCACCATACCGTCCACAAGAGGAATGGCTTGAGTTGGTCTGGATTGGGTGGGAGACAGTAAATTACAATATCTTTTGTTGGTACTCATTCAACCAGCACATTAAATAAGAGTACAGGGAGAGAGAACTGGGTCAAATTGTGTCACAAATCTGTCCTCTACAGATGATGCAGGTACATCGCCTGTGCTGAAAAATGTCCCAGTTCATTGAACTTATGGGCATCAGACGACACTGCTGTGTTATTTATTTTTTTTCAACCCTTTTGCCCGGGAAGGCCTTGGCAACAAGCCAACAAGTAACTTGTTTTCCCCACATAGCCTGCATTGGAGCTTTGGTGTTTTTCCTTTCACTTATGAGGATCCCGTCTTGTAGAGCCTTTTGCTTTTTTGAGGGGTGTCAAAAACCGATGATTATCTGGGCTTATCCTGCAGGCCGTATCATAAGTGGGTCTGCTATTTTGATGGCCTGTGATACAGATTTCTATGAGACTCTGAAGTGTCCAGTTAGAAGAAGCGTTCCCATGCTAAAATATTTGTTATTTATCAGTTTGAGAGTCTGACATCTTATGGGGATGTAATTACCTGCCGTGCATATGTATCCGGAAAAGTCCACTTTTCAGGGGGTGGATAAACATCAGGACCACGGTGGGTTCTGCCAGGGACTTAACTTGAGAGGCTGAGTTCCCCCCTTGGCATAATGTCTCCAACCCAGTGTTCATCTCTTCAAGCAGATCCGCTGAAGAAAGAAAAAAAAAAAAGAGATCGTTGTCAAGAAGAGCACAGCATCAGATCTCCGACTACATGAATATTCATCAACTTGTGATTATGTGTAGTGGGATCCAATCTCATCCATTAGTCTTCATTCAAGGCTGTGATTTGTCCTTAGTAATTAGTTTGCACTTTGCCAAATTCATATTGGTGCTTTCTGGGAGCTTGTGAAAGATTGTTCCAGGTTTTTTACAGATAATAGATTGGAATTTACAAGGGGCTAGATCATATGCACTAATATGGCAAATATCAAGACAAGTTACTAATTACACTTTTTAATTCCTTCATTGATTCAATACATCGTCGCTCTCAAACAGCCAAATCTGAATCTGAAAGTTTTGTTCCAATGAGATCTGAGTAACCAAATCAAACAACAACTGGCTTTCAAAATGTTGTACTTCTGATTTTTGTGCAGTTAACATAGTTGCACTGTTATGCAGCAGGCCTATGCAATGTCACTGAACAAGTTTAGAATGAACATTAGGTGCAATAGAATTCTTTTTTAAGTCTCCAGCTGCAAATCAGCTTTCAAATACTCCTCTACTCGAGCAATCCGCCCCAAGCTGAAGTGCAACCCCAATTGGCAAAAAAAGGACAAGTGGTTACAAGCGGGTTCTTGCACGCATTCTGTGTGTACGCAAAGACCATAAATTGCCGGAATAAATTAGTTACGCGTACTCAGCATTCTCCGCGTCAAACGCGCATATACTTGCGCGCCTTATGGCGCGCCTATGCGGTGGGTACCAAAGAAAACATGCCCTCTTTTGTTCCGCTCGGAGAGGATAGAATCTAGATTCTGAGTCTTAAATGCTACCATACCAATGGATACTTCAGAGGACGTGTGTTGCACTCTGACATGAACTTCATTTTGACACTGATAATGACAGCAAATTGATCTCGACTCACTCAACGGGAAGGCCTCACGATCGTCAAAGCTCTCCAACCAGACAATAAGCACCTTGATCTCGGGGCCCAGGGCCAGACCCTTCTTGTGCAGTGACTTCCGTCCCCTCTCCAGGGAGCCCATGGGACTGACCTGGGGCGGAGTGGTGGAGGGGGCCCCTGAGTCCGAGGGCAGGTCTAGGGTCAGACTACGGGTGCTCAAGGGGAGGGACTTGGTGCTCTTGTGGGTCAGTAGGGGGGCTGTTTTGGGAGGCTCATCAATACCTGTTTTCAGAATGATCAATCACAGGAAAAACAGGTGTTACAATTTGTCGGAAGGAAGGTTTAATTACAAAATACCTGAATCTTGAGTACATTTGTGAACTGTAACGTTCCTGAAAGAATCATTAGATACAAGTCAAAGTTACTGGGTGATATCATTTTGTCTCAACACCTCAAATGTGACTTCAAAATCAGATCGTGTCAAAAAATTATCATTTTGAAAGGATGGCCAAGTTTTGGTTCAGATGAACAACATTCTGTAGGTACTGTTCTGTGAATTTTTCGCTGGTCACTAAAACTGTTTTGTTGAGGACTGGTCCATTCTGAGCATTTCCAGTTAAACATAAGAGGAGCACTTAGACACCTACCATCACCAGCCGAGTGACGCCTGCCAGAGTTATGATGCCTCTCGCTGGGCACCACAAAAGCTATCTCAGACATGACGTCAGCATAGTAGAGAACGTGGGTCTCTCCGTTATACAAGCTACCACCATGCACCTCAGCTGATGGTTCCTCTCCAGCTAGATGAGAGAATCAAAGTAAACTTGAAATAGGTATGCAAACTTGCAAAGGTTGTGACAGGACACTGGGCTTCTAGCGTAATGAGCCCCGAGCTGGACCAAGAGAGGGCGCAATTTTCCAAGCAACGGAGGCTCCTTTGGTCAGAACTGCATTTCGCTGGTTCACTAACGACTATGAAATGCACACATTACAAGCGAGTCGCTACTGACAAAATGAACACTCCCCACCTACAAGGCTCTTTTCAACAGATGAGCAGGTGCTTCTGCTCAAGGTAGATAACTGGAGATCCTTTCTTTGTATTGTCTAGTCTAACAAAGACCTGACCTCATGTCACAAATGGATAGCAGTTTTTGTCATGGTCACTGAATGCCCATTCACAAGACCAGTCACAAGTAACAGGGTGAACAGTGACAAGGAATGCTTTTGAGGCACTCTGTTTGAGTAGCGTGTGACTTCAGACTGGTGCTCTTGTGATGGTCTTGTGGGGTCATGCGAAGGTCTAAAGAGGTCTTAACTACAACAATGATGAATATGAGGATAGGCACGGTCTTCAGAGCCACTGCAGTTGCTTTAAGAATTTCCCAATGGTTACTGACAGAAAGAATTCAAGACTGTTTAAAGTAAAAATACCTAGGAAATTTAGCACTGATGTGTGGTACGATATACCTTCTGTGGTTGGGTCAGCGGAGCTGTCTGTCTGGTCAGTAAAGGTGATCTTCCAGCTGGTGGCAACGTTTCCTGTCCAGCCCGCATGTTTGTGGACGTCCACTGACCAGCCCAAGGACCCCAGGAATTCCAGGAACTGAGGCTGGACATTAGCTCTGTCTGTCTGTGAGGCCAGTCAGGAATAATATCATTTCATCACATCATGCATCATTCAAGTGGGGAAGTAATTCTGGCAGCATGAGAAAATGGACCTCAAAAAGACACTTTGTGCAACAAGACTTGGTAATTTACACACAGTCGATGAAGACATTTATATTTATTGTCAGGATTCAAGCGGCATAAACAAATACACTTTCACTACGTGGAGGGCTTTCTGAATTGTCATAACATTTATACACTCAATTTTGAGCACGACAACCTTACCACATTCTGTATGATAGCCTGGGCTTCGGACTGTCCAGCCTTGACGTAGAAGATGAAAGCTGTATCGTAGGTCCGACTCGGAATGGCATCGAGCGCGCTCAGGTCACTGGTAAAGTTTGCTAAGTCATCGTCAAGGGCAACCACAGCAGGTGGGATGGAACTGTTCTCCGGATCCTGGCGAGGTAACAGAGACAAAAGGGGGAAAAAATGACGCCAATATTTGGTTCATGCTCAAGCAAGGGGACAGGACAAACAGTTGCTTGAATGTAACCAGCAGTTCAGTTTGTCATGACAGAATTATTGAAATAATAGTACCTATCAACTTATAACATGCATTTATCTGAAGATCCAGTCGAGGCACTGTCCACCATTATTATCCATGCTCACTGAGCCAATAAACATTCCTAAGACTATTTCAGCTCCCTCGGGAGTATACAGCTCAATGCCATTATTTCAGGTACACCTGCTAATCAAATACAACAAATGTCCCTACCCTCACAGGTACCTATTTATATTCCTGGGTGGAGACAGGCAAGTGGGAGTAAAGTGACTTGTCCAAAGTCACAACATATACACCGCTTGCAGGATTCAAATCTCCGAGCTTATGTTTGAGTCAGAACCCCTAACCAATGAACTACATGCCTCCAAACAAATGCATGGAAACAAGGTGGGCATATTGGTAAAAATGTGTGCAAGAGATTTGTACACATAATGTTGAAAAGTGAGTATCAATGTTTACCTCCAATGCAGGTAATTTCAAAAATTAGGGGACCAAAAGTGTGACATTTTGTGTCCCTGTTACATCTGACCGTTGTTATTTGACACGGAAATATCACCGGAATTGATTTCAAACTACTACTATTCGTTTTTCAGGTAATTTGCATTAATTCCTCACTCTCAGAAATTAGAAAATGTGTTCTGAACTTACAAAATCATATGTCTGATGTGATAGGGACACGAACAAAATGGCCTCCTAATTTCTGGAATTACCCACATGTCTAACACACAGTGCCTTGAACAGTTCCTGCTGAGCTTTCTCCTTGCAGTTGCTTAGCACAGAAATACTTGTTCAGTAAAAAAATAGTTTTACCAGTCAATGTGCCATGGAATGTATACTGTCTGTGACTGATTTCAAGCTCATTTGTGCTGAGAGCTTCTAGTTGCTAAGCAGCATTAAGCAGCATTTTGCACTTAGCAGCTTCATGAAATAACACCGTGTCTAAAGGGGGCGTTTTGGCAGTGGCTATGGATATTTCCTGCAGCACATTAATACCCAATGCCAAAGTCATAGCCACAAAACAACAAATTCAGATGTGACTGATCACATGAACAAATCAAGCCGTGTTTCAGCCTACCTTAAGCGAGTCAAGACTCAAGTATCCTAAGTGAGACAGGATCAGACGAGCCGAGCTGAACTCTCGGCAGGGATTGGGCGGTTTGCACTCGGTGCGAGCATTGGGATAGCCCCCTCGCTTGATGTCCTCCATGGCCGACTCACACACAAACCTCTCATACTCGGTCTGTTCTTCGATGAGGCGTTCAAGTTTTTGATGGTCGGATCGCAGGGTGTCAGTTTCAATGTCCTCCAATGGAGGAATACTCTGATCCCTGCATAAAAACAAGATATTGGTGCAATCAAAGGTCTAGTGTCTCAAACACTGTCTCAAAAGTCCTTGCTAAGACCATCTGTTGCCATCTGTTGTGGTATGTACAACTGAGATGCCGAGGAAAATCAAAGAGAATTTCACTGCCAAGATACATTAACGATCACAATGCTGGTACTCGGACATTTAGCACCTTTTAACCTGACCAGTTATCAAAGTTGCATGAGCCGTCACATGCAGAGCGTCGGCCACTTTGCATGGTACAACGTAGTGGCATTGGTTTTCCTTCACAAGACCAACTGTAAGAAACAATGTCACCAATGGCAACGTAACATTTTTGTTACCGTACATTTGAATAGCTTGGAACTTGGCTTAGGACTCAGTGACATGTAACGTCGGGGCTAGCAGTGGTTTTGCAGGGACTTGTGACGGACTCGAATACAATACTGCATAAAGCGAGTTTGTGTTGACATTAGCTATTAAAGTGAAATAAGCCTGTAGCCGATTCACAGCTCCACTTCACCAAACTTGCTTGACAAAAACTACATGGTAAGCATCCATCGGAGGGAAACCTGTGGCAAGAAATGCAACTTTGCTTGAATTTTTGGCTGGTGTCCTGTTTCTCCTAAATAAAATGTTTATGAGCTCAGCACATCAGACCTAAGCAGAGAGCCTGGCCTCAACTTTGATAAAGTACAGAAGGGGTTATCTTACGCCTGGGTGAGAGGGACCTTGTCTACAGCTTCTGGGTAGTGCCTTGATGTGATCTCATGGTGGGTGCCCACGTGATCGTCAGGCTGAGGCCTCATGGGATAGCTAAGGCCAGATGGAGTGTCTCCCTGTAAATATGATGGGTAAAATATAACAACCACAAATAGAGGGATCCCAATACGACGCTTTTAGCGTTGATCTGCGCACTTCCGCGTTTGAAAACAAGGCTGTATGTGTCAGCTTCAATTCTTAATACGATCAGACGATTGAAAATAAGGCTGTATGTGTCAGCTTCAATTCTTAATACGATCAGACGATTGAAAGTAAGGAGTCAAGACACAAAATACATAAAGGTACGTTAAATTAAGACTTTCCAGGCTGCAAATTTTTGTGGAAGAGTCTTTCAGGATGATTCGACATGTAAAATCCAAAGAAAAATAACGACAATTGACTGCTAACTAACGTACCTGCGACGGTCGTGTATCTTGTGCAGTGGGCGTGGTTTAAACTGAAGTGGCATCACACTTACGAACCGGATACTCTATGTACTGTGTGGACTCTGCAGGCGCGCCCAACAAAGTTCAACACAGAGAGCCACGGTTTCGATGCAGTATACGCAGACGGCGCTAATGTGAAATCCCTCTATAGCAACAGCACACATGACAGTCTTAACCCCTTCATGGCNTGAATAGACTGTATGTGTGGTATGCACTAATCCTCAACACACTAGTCCTCTGTAGTGAAGGGGTTAAATTATCATACAATCCTGTGTGTACTAGAATTGATGCTGACCGTTTCCTGTACCTTTTCTTTCTTAGACCAATGTCTCAGTTTCATGGTCCAGACATGTCGGCCTGTGGGTCCACGGATGATGGTTGTTACTGTTGGTAAAATCTCTCCTGTTTTAGGAAAGTAGTAATAAAGATGGGGGTTACACGTAATAAACTTCGCAGACAAATCTGCACTTTAGAACAATTCGTGGATATGCCGATTTTTGTGAGAAAGGGGACCGCTATTTTCCTTTTATTGGAAACATTCAACAAAAAAAACTTTACTTTGTTTCATCTTTATGAAAACCTAATTGACACAACTACTTTCCCTTTATTTTCATACTGAACTACAGCTACTTTTATGGTGTGAAAATCAATAGCTTGAAAAAAGAAATTCAAATTGCCTTTAAATCCACAGAACAACAAACTTCATTCACTGCAGAAACAAGACTTCATCAAAGATAAGATTTGTGATAAACATGTCCCATGCAACAAGCAATGCACAAACGTCAAAGAAGAAACAAAATGACACTCTGATGTTGCAAAACCAGTTCCAAATTACACAGCAAATTGACGGTACCCACCACCATTGTCTGTAACCGGTCTCTCCAGCACAGCCATCAGTGTAGCGTTCTCCAACACAAAGTATCGGAATGATACCTGGTGATGTGCGCCGTAACTAGCGCCGTTTGCACTGTATTTCAGCAATGATTGCTCATCCAGTAATGAGCCAACTGACGCAGGACCACAGGGGTTGGGAAAAGAACCCTGAAATAAACGGATTCGGGTCAAGCAACAAATGCAATAATCTGTTTCTCTTCAATTTTAAAACAGGGATTACCTCTTGCACAGACATGGGGCATGTCCACAGGCATTAATTTATTTTTTCCCGTGCTTTAGGATACGTAATTCTTGTTCATCTCCTTATCAATCTTGAGGGGAAGGGGGTACATTCTCACCACATGGTTCAGCAAGCATGCCAACAGACCCTCGGCAGCATCTTTGACTCTCTTGGACGCTGGCTTCAGCTCCTTGTCGTGCTTGAAGACTGGCGCTACCGAGGCCTTGCGTTGTGACTTGGTACCCGAGATACCCAACTCAACCACCTCCAAGACACACTGCAGGCATTCCTGCAGGAAGAGTCCGACACCAGAGCAGGGAATTCAACATGATCCATGAACAGGAGTGTTTGCTCATGAATCATGC